GTATCACAATGCATCTTATATGTGTTTGAGTATCACACTGTGGTATCACCAGAGGACGGTGGCCGAAAGACGGGGATGGAGAGAGAAGAGAGGAGAGATGAGAGAAAATACTTAAAATGTCCTTGCATTAAAATTTTAATTAAAAATTAACAAAATTATAAATTTTCTAATTTATCTATTGATTTGTGGTTGAGATTGGATCTCACGGTTACCACAAACTAGCCAGTTCTCCCTTGAATGAGCCCCTATATATAGGTTGAAATGAGAATACATGTAAAATACAATAATGTAAGAACCATTTATAAACGTCTACAAGACTAAAATGAATAATGATGATTGACATTTTTCAAAAATCTACAAAAATTATTCTACAATTTTTAAAAAGAATTATTCGAACTGATTACTTTATCCGATTTATGCATTGCATGCACATTTGAATGAATTACAATATTTATCGTCTTTCAATTTTCGGGCTACATGCACATATGAATGAATCACTATATTCATTATCTTTCAATTTCTAGGCTACATGCACATGTGAAGGAGTCGTATTCACCATCCTTCATTTTCTTAGTTGATTGCATATGTGAATGAACAACTGTATTCATCTTTTTTTCAATTTATGTGTTACATGCACATATGCATGAATCATAATATTGAACGTCTTTCAAATTTTTGGTTAAATGGATATGTCAATAAGACACCATATTCAATGTCTTTCAATTTTTAGGTAGCATGAACATGTAAATGAGACACCATATTCACATGTGCATAAAACTCATAAACATATATTCCAAAAGATGATTTATTGAATACAATTACTTATGCACATGTGAATAAAACCTAGGAAAAATAATCGAACATTGTTACGCATCATACACATGTGTATTAACCCCAAGAAAAAAAGTTTTTGAATACTGCTACTTATATACATGTGTATAAAACACACACAAAAATAGATTTTCAAAAGATTAATGATCGAATATTGTTCCTATGCACATGTGCATAAAACCCATATTTTTTTTTTCAAAACATGAATAATTGACTTTGGATGAAAGGAATTGAGAAGTAATCATGGGGTAAAAGCACCAGAAATGAGAAAATGAAAACTTGATAATCATACCTTCATTACATTTTACCGAGATATGACTCGATCACCAATATTTAGGGAAGAAGATTGATTTTCGTTTGGTTTTTTTACAAGATTTGGAGGTGAATTGTCGTCAATGATAATATTAGAGATAAATTTTGCAATTTTCATTATGATAAAGAGACAATTTAAAGGTGATTTTCATTTGATTTAGTCATAATGGAATTAGAGATGCACTTTATAAATTTTGTTTGAATAAATAAATGATTTAGAGTTGATTTTCATTTGATATTCTTGGTCAATGTTTTGGTAGGAGATTATTATGGCTAAAATGTAGGAGGTCTGATTTTCTATTTTTTTTAGATTAATCCTCTGATCCAGTGTACCTTATTACGTAAATTACCATCTCTTTGTAGTTATCTTTAAAAACATGTCATTATCGTATTGACCATTGATTTATTTGATCCAAAGAGACTAGGGTATTTTCTGTTTTTTCATTTATTTGTAGTTTTTCTTTGAACCTCCCTCTATTGGTATAATATATATTGTGTATTATTATTTTACATAATATAATATTAAATTATTTTTTAATTTTCAATGAAATATAATATATATATATATATATAAAGACACAAATGCCCCTCATTTAACAGAAAGTTATCTCGAAGAGACTCAAGAAGCGTAAAAATACAAATCACATGTCCTAAATCCGTAATTAGTTTAAGAGATTGTTTGTTTACTTTTTAATAGTTCTATTAAGAGGCATACTTTGAACTGTTAAGAGGTGAATCTTGTTTGACAAAAAAAAAGTCTGTCTCTTAATGGTTTTAAAACTCTCAGAATGATTTTGTGATCTAAGCCTCCTTTAATCATTAAGCGCCTTAATTTTATTGTAAACAATTATCAAACAATTATATTTCATTTTGCACTACATCATGAGAGCCTTTTAATTATTTTACACTAAATTGTTAAACATCTCTGAGTTAAAAACCAAAAGCATTAAAAATGTAAACCAAAATATTCACTCTTTTCTAGAGAACCAACCCAAACTGAACCGCTGCCGTATTCAGACATTTACTTGAAGGCGGTTCAACTCAATTTCATCGGGTTTTTTAGTGTTCACCCTTATTTCAAAGCGGCTTTTCTTTTTTTTTTTCGCTTTCCATGGAGTTTGTTGGCACTTGGCACATACTCCTTTTTGGATTTTAACCCTTTTACGCTTCTTTCTCGGAGCTAAAACGGGACCCCACAATCCACCCCCCATTCATTGAACCTGCAATAAACCCTCCCAATTTCATCATACAGATCTCTCCGTCTACACTTTTCTTTGTCATTTTCTGGTTGCTTCATCTCTTCATCACCATTTGTAAGTCTTTATGTATGATTTTTATGCTGAATTACTTCGATTATTGTATTGGGTTTTTGTGGGTTTTGCTTCTTTTCTCTTTTCCCCTTGATTTTTAGTGATGTCTTGAGTTGGGTGTTTGTTTAATCTTGGTAGTATTTGGATCAAGTGTTTGTTTAATTTGCGATTTTGGATGGTATTAAGTAAGAAGGGGTTTACCCTTTGCCTTCCCTAAAACTGTGAAGTACAAAATTCCTCGAGAAAATGATGGATTTCACGAGAAATTTTTGCTGATAAGTTAGGTTTAGGACAGGGATTTTGAGGATTTTAGCTGAAATTTTGGCTAGTGGTTTTAGGAGTGTGAATTTGATGCGTGTTTTAAGGAGGAAAAAAGGGGGGTTTTTTCTCTTGCTTTTAGATTGATCTAGAATACCCTATTTGAGATACCAATGGAGGGTAATTTATCCTCTGGGAATATGATTTCTGGGCAAACAGGAAGTTCTTATGGTGGACTTGATTTGCAAGGTTCCATGAGAGCTCATCATCAACAACATAACAACCCTTTTACACTTAATCAACACCAGCATCATCATCACCTCCAATCCAGTAGACAACAAGGATCCATGGTTCATCCTTCGATTCATGAGAATTTGCCTCTTAGAATGGGAATGATGCAAGATTGTGATCGTCATAACCCGACCATATCTTTGGCTGATTTTGGGAAGGGGGAAAGGGGAAAGAGTTGTGTAAGTGATGAAGACGAGCCAAGCTTTGCAGAAGATGGTCATGAAAACCGTAATGATGATAACCGAGGGAAAAATATGTCACCTTGGCAACGTGTGAAATGGAGTGATCCGATGGTTAGGCTTTTGATAACCGCTGTTTCTTACATAGGGGAAGATGCTGCAATGGAGTATGGAGGTGGGTCTAGAAGGAAATATTCAAATTTACAGAAAAAGGGTAAGTGGAAGTCCGTTTCAAAAGTTATGGCCGAGAGGGGTCATTTCGTTTCTCCTCAGCAGTGCGAAGATAAGTTTAATGATCTGAACAAAAGGTACAAGAGGCTTAACGAGATTCTTGGCAGAGGCACTTCTTGTGAGGTTGTTGAGAACCCTTCTCTTCTTGATTTGATGGATCATGTGTCTGATAAAGCAAAAGAAGAAGTTCGGAAAATTCTCAGCTCTAAACACTTGTATTATGAGGAAATGTGTTCATATCATAACGGGAACCGTTTGCATCTTCCTCCGGATCCTGAACTACAACGTTCACTGCGATTGGCTCTTAGAGCCAGAGATGATCATGAAAGCAATGATGGAAGAAGGGGCTCACATGAGGATCTTGATGAAGATGATCAAGATCCATATATGGATGATCATGATGATTATGAGGACCATCATCATGGTCTACAATTGGATCAGAGAGCAGTATATGGGTTGGGTGAGGGATCTACGAAAAGGGTAAAACAATGTGAAGGCCACGATCTTGTTTGTAACAAGAATTTTGGTTCACAGCCCAAAAATGTGCAGGCCGACATGAATCAAGCTCTACCCGAAGGGGTAAAAGCTAATCTCTTACAGGATCAGTGGATGAAACACCGGTTGGTTCAACTAGAAGAACAGAAGCTACATATCCAAGCACAAATGTTGGAATTGGAGAAAGAAAGGTTCAAGTGGCAAAGGTTTCGGCGGAAAAAGGACAGAGAACTGGAGATGATGAAGATGGAAAACGAGAGGATGAAATTGGAGAACGAACAAATGGCATTGGAGTTGAAGCGTAAGGAGATGTGTGCAGATCTTAACTAATTCGTGAAGGATTTCAAGCTAAAGATTGGCTGGTAAGGACTTGGGTTGCCAAAAAAATATGATTTTTCCCCTTTGTCAGTTTTGGTCAGCTGCTTTTATCTTATTCGACATATGAAATGGTGTGCTGTTAACCCATTTTAAAGTCATGAATTTGCATGATGTTTGCGGTTGCATTAGAACCAGAACATAAACTGCTTTCCGTTTACTATGGCAGATTAATGACTGCGATCTGTGGCCTTTGTAATGTTTGGTTTTCTGTTCTTTTTGCTTTTTGATGTTCATAGCATTACTTAATGTTATTGTTTTCTGCACATGATGAAATTGGTATCGGTCCCCCTATATAAGTTTTACTAGTTTTGTATTAAATCACCGAAGACGTTTGAAGTAGAACCATCAATTTTAACTTGTTCTAGCAAACTACCTGAGAAAATCTTGTGTTCTTGCCTGATTTGGAGCTCATGCTTAATAACTTGCTATAAGAAGTCTAGTATTATATATGTATGAGGGGCAGGTTCAATTGTCGGTACTTAAGTTCCATCATGAACTAGGGGACAAAGGACTAGGAGAGTGTGCCACATGTCCAAAAGATTTACGGGATATTCATCTTGATTGGTGTAACATTCATTATGAATGAGAACAAATGGGGAAATGTCTCGTGCTTTCATTTGTCCCCATGTTCACAACGAAAAACAAGTTTGCAACTGACCTCTACTCTATATATGTAGTTAGTTCAGTATATGTTTGACAACCATAAGCTAGTTTTTTGATAGCTTTGTTGCAATCATTTTAGTTGTATCTAGTTTATGACAGAATTTTTCCATCCTGGTAATCATGATAAATTTATTAACAGGACACTAGCTCTCTTTTTATATGAAGTTGTCTCATGAAATGATTATACTTCTGTTATATATGTCTTCTTTGATGTTTGATGGTTATAATATCATTGCTGGACTGTATTCATGGAAAACAATCCCCTTTGTGTGGAGAGAAAGCATGATTGGCCTATCGAAGTGGGGCCTACATGTAGATTCTAGACAAGCCGTCCCGGGAGTGCAGCACGTGCAGGGTTCATAAGAAATTGGGAATGTACAGTATTAGAATATTTGGAAAAACGGTTTTATATGAATTATCAGTATTTCTTGAATCCAATGTTATTTCTGGCGATAAAAACAATATATTGAAGATTTTTTTATTGAGAGTCCTTGTTTTACATCTCTTCCAGGACCTATAAAATGTCAGGAACGGGCGTACTTCTAGAAGCAATATTCATTGTATTGGATTGGATTGGATTCAGAAAACTGATATTGTTGCTCAAAGGGATGTAGTAAGGGAAACGTTACCAATTTGTGAGGTTCACTTGTTATTGTCTTAAAGAAGTCATCTTGATTAGCTCAAAATTCACATTTGCTTATTAGTAGATTTTGTGTGCACTTTATTTGAAAAAACAATCTCTCTACTCCTTGTACTGTCTGTGTACATTTTTACCTTCTTCAAGGGTTTGAGGTTTAGTTTGGTTTGATGTACTCTTATCCTGTGTACATTTTATCCTCTTTAAGGGTTTGTGTGGATTTACTGGATTTGTTTGGTTTTTATCAGTATAAAATGCTTTTATTGTTCATGTATTCATGCTTTTGAACCGTTATAATGTGTCATTGTGTATGCTAGTTTTAATGTAGAATACATATTATTTGGCGAATGGTCGAAATGAACTGAAACTGCAAAAGTAGAACGGGAATTCCGGACATAAATGTTTTGAGAATTGGAGCAGTATGTGCTATTTCACATGACTGTTTCCATCTACGACTTGGATTTAGCTATTGATTAATATATAATTGTTTCACAGTGTCAACATTTTTTATGTGTTTGTGAAACATAAAAATACAACTAAAAAGTTTTATATTGTGAACCGAATACATATGGAACAAACACATTTTGAAACAAATATATTAAATTCTAGTCTTAGATAAAAAAAAGAATCATGTGAAGTAGAGATGGCCAAAAATCGGTACCGGGCCGGTCCCAATCGGTCCTCACATTTCTCATAACCGGCCATAACCGGTCCCGGTCTCGGTCTCGGTCCCGGTCGAAAATGATAGGACCGGTATAGGTACTTTATAACCGGTTATTTTAGTTAACCAAGTACCAGTTATTGGGCTTTATCGGGTTTTTTACTTATAGTTTCCCGTTCGAAATTTAGAACCAAAATGGACTTTCGCGTATAAGTTATATTTTAATCAAAGTTAAAAAGATGCTTATCTTCTTCTAGATTTTGGTAATATGAAGGTTTGATGGGGTGGCTAGGTATTCAAACAGCCTGATTCAAGATGGTGATCATCATGGCTGTGATCCAAATATGGGACCCACTTAGGTTTCAAAATTTTTGAGTATACAATTTTGGTCCTTGTGATTTACATCGAACTACGAACGAAGTCCATGAACTTCATTATGTATGGTAATAGTCGCCATGGTTTGTATTTTACTTTAAAAAAAGTTATTTCTCACTAGTACTTAGTTGAAGGATAATTATGCGAGCACTCCACCCCATCCCACTGGTGCTACTCCGGCGAGCACCCAACCCCCACCATTGCTTCTTCGGCCCTTACGACTGCTTCTCCAACGAGCACCCAACCCCCACCATTGCTTCTTCGGCCCTTACGACTACTTCTCCAACGAGCACCCAACCGACCCTACAATTGCTCTCCTAAATATCTCATCATCTTCATCAACTCGACATTGTTGTTGCATGTAGAGCTGGCAAAAAGTGATCCAACCCGTCAACCCAACCCAAAATTAGCAGGTTGGATTGAGATTTGCAATGCAAAGAGTAAGTTCATTCCATTTTAAGTTCATGTTGTGTCACTGTGATTGTGTTCCCACTTTAAATTGGAAGTCGAGTTAGAAATTAAAGGTTTCAATGATATTTGAACAATTTATTGCATTTGTGGTTGTGTTTTGTTCAAACTTTGAACAATTTATTTGTATCTATCATTAAATTAATAGCCTAATCTTTTTTTATTTAAAATTTTAAAATAAAATGGTCAACCCCTGTTCAACCAATTTATTTAACAGGTTGAGTTGAGAAAATCATAAACAAGYTGTTAGTCCCGAAGGGCAAGGCAATAAGCAGAAAGTAATTGTAGAAGGGGGGGTTGAATACAATTACACAGATTTTTTTCAACTTTTTAATTCTTATTGATTTATATCAAGAATTAATACACACAGA